CCTTCAATTTAAGTGTTTGTTGCACGAAATATGTTCAAATTCAAGAAGTTATCATTTTACATTCTGTTTCATAAAGACATGGATTTTTTTTAGACATTCATGCTTCATGCTTCCAAAATCAAAAGAAGACACTTTTATGGTCATTTGATAATGCTAATGATAATGCAGGTTTCTTACAGTCATTGTTCAAATTACTACTCTGTGATCAAGAAATAAATAAAACTTAACCATATTTTGTTCCCATTTACAACAGAACACATTTATTAGGAACTATGGGTATAATGCTATAAAACGTCACTGGCTGGATGGTACTTACAGCAATATCAACTCATATCATGACCTACCAACAAAGTGTATGTGTCCAATGGATTTGGAAACATGGGGACAAGTACTGGAATTGGAACTCTGCAGATGAGCAGATGTGTGACGTTTGTTTTTAATAACTAAGTACATGTATTTTCAATTAGTAGTAGTCATTGTAATTGCATTATATAATAACACATGTAAAAACTGTGTATCAGAAAAGTATACACTTTTCTGATGTCAATGTGGCGAGGATCATCGCATGACACATGTGTGCTATTTGTGTTGATAAACATTGAATCTCCAACAATCCAATCTGTTCTTCTAATGTATATAACAAGTATGAATTCTGACCTCATGAATTAGACATGCACTAATTACCGCCAGCGGCACCTTTGATACCTTCCGATTGCCAATGAAATTATCTAATTAAAGCTTGGTATAGTCTCAGTCTCAGCATACGTGATGCAGTGACAATCGTCCTTTTAAAAAAACTCGTGGGAAAATCTTTTATTAAATGCAAATAGCTAGAAATGTTCTTTGTACCCTTATTCATTTCATCGCACAAACACAAATGGAAATAAATTTGAACTTCCACATGCTATTGTTCTAGAACAAAATTTCTAGTGGCATGTAATTTTTTTACATTTTCAAATGCAATTTGAGTGAGTATATCTTCGAGATCACATGACCCATAGCAAGACTGAAGTGTTGATTATACTGACATTGCAATAATATAATAACAATAGCAAATTTATATATTTAATATATAATTTATAATTTCAAATTAAAGCCTAGCAAAGTAAAATTGTTGATATACTTGTAAGGCAACAGTTGATAGTAAACTCAGAGGTTGCTACTTCTCAGTTTAATATTAAGTTATTAATATGCATTATAATAATTAACAAATATTTACCTATACACACTCACTCCAACTGTACAAGTAATAACTAATAGGATTTCTTTTGTTGAAATAGAAACATTTTTAATCTTTGATTATTTTAGTGTCTCGATATTTATTTTGTTTAGGATATTTTGTTTTCTTATTAACTTTTGCCTTCAAAGATGGTGTGATTAATTGTGTTTTTTTAATTTTATGTTGTATGTCAATAATTTTAATTACACCATGACTCTATGGTCTTTTAAATTGCTGCAATATTTTTATGTGAATTTTTATATTTTATTCTATTGCTTATAATTATTATTTTAATTATTGTGTGCTGATTATTGTTATTTTATTTATTGACTAAAGTTGCAATATTAAATAAAACATTTACTACTGCATTTACTATGGTTTTATATGCAAAGCAATGTTGCAAAATGGCTTTGAAATGTAATGGTGTGAACCAAAGTTACTAGAGAATTAATAAAAGGACGTACAACTATGGTATTTTTTTAAATATACCGCTTGGGATTTGATCGTCTCTGGAATCCAACATATGTTTGAAACTTCAAAAACCATTTCATTATTCACACTCACTGGATATTAAAATAAAATAAAAAAAAAAACTTGCCCATGCAAAACAATACAAGATATACTGGTATGTACAGCTTAAAATAGCATGTTTTGAGTAAATTTGATTTTGATTAGACCTTTTATTTACATAGAGTACCGGTAACTAGATTTCATAGATTTATTCGATGAATTTCCAACAAAAACAAGTCAGTAGTACTAAAAAAAACAGTAAGCTTGAAAATAGAGATCATTGGTAAAGATACCTGGACTGTAAAATACTCTTAGCTGTTATTAATTTTTGCTGAAATGACGTTTTGGGTGTTTTGTCAATCATTCTTAATCATCCCTTCAGCGAAAATACTTTTTTTTTTTATAATATACTGTAAAATGATTAATTTTCACTGGGTTTAAATTTAGCTGATTTACCATTTCAGGCATATTCAGTGGGTTTTAAATTCACGGTTTTATCATTTAGATAATGTGTTCTATGCTAAATTTTACATATTCACTCAGGCTGGGTTTTAATTTAGAGCATTTTCCATTCAGTGAAATAAGCAAAACTAAAACCCAGTGAATAATTAACCTTTTTACAGTACATGTAGTCTAGAAACAAATATTTTAGTGTCATAGAACAGCACTTATTGAAGAGCAGTTTCTTTCCTTGGATGTTTGATGCAGTTTGTGTCCTTATGCGTTCTCTAGCATCTTTGTTGAAACACAGCAATTTTTTTTTAGCTTTTCGCTATAGAGAATTGTTTTATTAGCACCAAATTATGGTTTTCATTGCGCCTAATATTTGTGTGTGTTCTTTGAGAATAAAAGCTGAATAAACGAAATATCTGGTCATTTTCCTCTCATTTAACCCCACCAAATTTTGTAGTTGAAACAGTAATGCCATTATTCAGGTGCAATCTGCAATAATATATATAAATTTCTTTGCCAGGTGAATCTAATTCCGAAAATAAAAACAGTATTTTGGATTATTTGTGAGCTTAAAAAAGCAATAATTACTGGTATTATGTTTATGCAACAGCGCCCTCAGAGGCAGTATATGTGATATTTGTATTACATTCAATATTAAACTTATTGGGGCCCAGTTTTGAAAGTCAGATATTAATTTACATTTATGGCATTCACAGGGTTTATTGTCTACAGACATCTGATCGATATAATTTGGATAATATCGACCTCTGCTGCGCGTCTGTCGATACTCTCACTGTACTGTCATCATGCATACTTTGCAGTATCCTTGTAATAACCTTATTATTATACATCTTTTTCTCCCAGGAATACATCATGGAAATGCCGAAATCCAAAAGGTTTAGAACAGATTTAGCGAACTTCTTTGTGTCAGGTCAGGTCAAACCCTATGGGCAGCCATGTTTGTTTTTATTATTAGGGGAAGCTTACATGTATAATGATTCCATATTTAGAATTTGAGTTTCTTTATATGGTAGGATGAAAATACCCAGTGCAATACCACAAAATTATGTCACACTGTAACTTGTGGCGTTACGGATGAAAAATGTATAATAATGTTATTTATGCACAAGTATCTCTCCTGAAAAGGCTTTACATAGTTTGGAGAGTCACTGTTACATAACAAACTTTACTTTTTTTTTTTTTGGCCTTCCAGCTTCACATTAGCTAGGTTATCAAGGGAAAACTAAAACGTGTCAGTGTAATTATAAATTGGGCATACAGTCGTGGTATTCATTGTTGTAGATACACAAAAAAAATCTTGTTTTTCATTTTCTGAAAGTGAAATCATAGATTTTCTGAACTCCTATTCGGAAGTGTTAACAATTACATTGAAAACAGTTGTGACCATTGCTGAACATCACAATATATTTTATTGAACAGTCACAAATCAAAGAATTAAATCTACACCTTACACCCAGATCGAGAATACATATGATTAAAAAATAAGAATGTGACACAGCAACAATGTGACCTTGCTTCGAGCACCACTTTTCTGGATTTGTGTACAAAATATATTACTAGACAAATATATTATTAAACATATATGGAATTATTACAATCATGAATCAACAGAATTTGATGTTTATTATTTTGAAATTTAAAGCACCTAGTAACACACTGCAGTACTGTTATATCAGACATTCTTTACTTATATTTTAATACTATATATAGTGGTTACTATGTGCACAATTCTGAATCAATATATTTATAGATTGCTGGCAAGTCAATAAGACTTTGTTACTGCAAATTGTTAATATTCTGGGGGGGGGGGTTGGTCAATAAATAATATATAAAATGCCTTATTTAAGGTAAACTTATGTTGTCACATAAAAAACCTAACCCCCTCCCCTAATTCAAATATTGCACTTGTTTTAAAATAAAACTAGTAAATACATGTGGATTTTCCATATAATTATTAATTCTCAGCATTTTCTATATTTCATTATAGTTATGATAAATAGCATAATTAATATATATACTTTTTGGGAAATGACTTATTGATTAAAAATCATTTGTTTTTAACTAAGTGCATCATTAAAAATATTATTGGTCCAGGAAATAAGTGATAGAGGCATGACATAGACTACTCAGAGAAATTAAAAATGCTTAAATTTCCTACAAGTTCAAAAAAAAAGATTAGCCATCATAGTTGTTTCACGATTGTAAACAACACTTTGATTTTTGCTCCTAGGAAAAAGTTGAATTTGTAATGTGAATTTACACAATGGCAATGTGCATTTACACCATAGTGATATGAATTTACACAATGCCAAAGTGCATTTACACCACAGTGATATGAATTTACACAATGCCAAAGTGCATTTACACCACAGTGATATAAATTTACACAATGCCAAAGTGCATTTACACCACAGTGATATAAATTTACACAATGCCAAAGTGCATTTACACCACAGTGATATAAATTTACACAATGCCAAAGTGCATTTACACCACAGTGATATAAATTTACACAATGCCAAAGTGCATTTACACCACAGTGATATAAATTTACACAATGCCAAAGTGCATTTACACCATAGTGATATAAATTTACACAATTCTAAAGTGCATTTACACCACAGTGATATGAATTTACACAATGCCAAAGTGCATTTACACCATAGTGATATGAATTTACACAATTCTAAAGTGCATTTACACCACAGTGATATGAATTTGCACAATGCCAAAGTGCATTTACACCATAGTGATATGAATTTACACAATGCCAAAGTGCATTTACACCACAGTGATATAAATTTACACAATGCCAAAGTGCATTTACACCATAGTGATATGAATTTACACAATTCTAAAGTGCATTTACACCACAGTGATATAAATTTACACAATGCCAAA